TTTTATGATGTCTAGCTAAAACCCCAATTCTTGGGGTGTGATTATGTGATCATGGGCTGATTTAGCTTGTAGGTATTGCTAATTGTTAGTTTAAATGTTGTTTAAACGTGATTTCAATCAGTAATTGTGGTTCAATTTAAAGAATTGTAGTTGCAAATGTAGTTCTACCTTTGTGTTTTTGGCTTGCTCGAAAGAGAGGTTTTAAAACCAAGATTACTGAATTGATGGTCTGTGGGTATTGGGTTTTCGTGGGTTCAGCTCGAGAGAGTGAACCCTAAACCCTTTTCCACACATTCAGCTCGAGAGAGTGAATGGACTAAAGCGTAGGTTGTTCTTATTTGCATGCTTGTTGGTGTTCGAGAGAAACCGACTTGATTCGGGCTAAATTGTTCGAGAGAAAGTTTATCCCCACTAAAGTCTAGCTTATTCACTGATTTACAGCTATTTACTAACAATTGCAATTACCCACTTGTCTACCTTAACCTATAATCCAATCACATCCCAAGAATCTGTCTCAATATTGTTATTTTCGTGTTATTTGTTGTTGTTGTAGCTGATAGTTGAAACCAAAACCCCCTTTATTTGACATTCATGTCACCCCTTATTTAAATTATGTCTTTATTCGACAATGTCTATTCCTATGACTAAATCGAACTTATTCGCACTTGACTATTGAATCTTAAACACGTACCGCTCTCTGTGGGAATGATTCCAACTCACTTAGTTGGGCTATTTACTGAGTAACGATAGTTGACTCTTAGAACTGGATTAAGTGTATTTGATAGCGTTATTCAATCACTCTACGGCAACATTTTGGCGCACTGCTGAGGCGCCACCCCAGCCCTTCTAGCGCATCTGGGGCACGTTTCCCCAACCCGTCCCCAGAACCTTCCGACAAATTTTCCTTCTCATTTTCTGATCCTAATTCATCTATAATCGATTGTTTTCCTCAATTTTCCTTAGATTCAATTACTTAATACAAGTACACGAGAGTCTACTCATAAACAACTATCAACTCAATACATTTGTCTCAAGAACTCATCAAACCCATCCTAATTCAAGAACAAAAGCGACACTTCAAGAACACTCATCAAGAACATTAACTTTCTCAATATTTATGGATATATTCATAAAAGAAACTCATGATTGACGTGTGGGTGAATGAACCCAACACTATGAAAACATACATACCTTAATTTGGCAAAACCAATCCTCGATTCGCAAAAACCTTGATCATTCTTCCTTTTCTCCTCTTTTTCTCTTCTTGAACTCCTCTCAAAGTACTATGCGTAATTTAGGATTTTAGTACTGACCCAAATCAGATTTGACCCCAAAAATATTACTAAAAATGTTTTAAGCTGATGGGTAAGGAAAAGACCAAAATACCCCTCATTAATTCGGGTAACTTTCCTTAACTGGGCAGACTGACTTCAAACGACCATATATCCCTTATCCGAACTCAAAACTTTGCAAATTCGATGGTGTTGGAAAGACGATTACAAGACATTTTATTTGATATCTTATGGGCCACCTAACACATCATGTACTAAAAGTTATAATCGTTTAAAATTGACCCAAAACTCTTAATTTAAGCATAACTTGCCAAATTCAAAATTTGGCTCTTTTCGAAATAGTTCTTTCTAAATTTAGATCTTTCTAAGGCGGGATATTACAATATCTTCCCCTTGGGAACATTTGTCCTCGAATGAGATTACTCTAAGTATGTAGACTAAGGGTGGCAACATTTAACATTCAGCTCAAATACCCACTATGCAATGTAACAGAACATTTCAACTTAAAAATTACCAATAAAACAATTAGTACCTTGATTTTGAATTTCTCCAGATTTAAAGATATGTGGGTATCTCTTCTTCATGTCCTCCCCAGCCTTCCAAGTTCCTCAACAAACTGATTCCTCTATAAGAACTTGGCTGATGTTACCTCCTTGATTCTCAACTTGCAAACCTGACGATCAAGTATCTCAACATGGATCTCCTCATAAGATAGGTTGTCCTCAATACCAATATTATATGTCAGTATGATAAGTGAAGGATCGCTCATACACTTCTTCAACATAGAAATGTGAAACACCAGATGAACTGCTGCTAACTCTAACGGTAGCTCCAACTCATAGGCTACATTGCCAATCCTCTTGGATATCCTGTAAGGACCAATATACCAGGGACTGAGCTTCCCTTTCTTACCAAATCTCATAATACCCTTCATGGGTGAAACCTTCAAGTAGGCCCAATCGTCCACCTCAAACTCTAAGTCTCTTCTCCTAACATCACTATAGGATTTCTGACAACTCTGCAATGTTTTCAACCTTTCTCGAATGATCTTCACTTTCTCCATATCTTGATGAGCCAAGTTTATTCCTATCAAGCCAGCCTCACCAACCTCAAACCATCCAATAGTATATCTTCTCTCATAAAGAGCCTCATACGGAGCCATCTGGATGATAGAGTGATAATTGTTGTTGTAGGCAAACTTAATGAGAGGTAAGTGATCATCCCAATTACCCTTGAAATCGATCACACACGTCCTCAACATATCCTCTAAACTCGGTATCATCATAGAGCTCATGTAGTGATTATTGTCGGTCAGAGAATCTCCCAAATAAGAGTAAATATTATATTATTGTACTTATATACATTTTGAGCTGAGATTTACTGTTTTAAAAGCTTTATATATTGTATCTATTATTGTCTCTTTCACATTTGAGTTGAGTTGAGTTGAGACGAGGTGAGTATGTCTTCCATTTCTATCATCTCAAGCTATAGAATTATGTTTCAGTGTTCCCCTTACATGCTCGTACATTCAATGTACTGACATCATTCGATATGCATCATTTTATGATGTAGATACAGGTATTCAGAGTTAGAAACATGCATTTCGTTGATCCATTGCATTCCAGCTAGCTTGTGAGCCTCCTTACTTTTCGGAGGGCTTTACTTTTACATTTCAGTCTTCTTAAGATGTCGTGGGTCTTGTCCTGATGTCTATCATAGTATTTAGAGGCTTCGTAAACAGTAGCAGTTGAGGAGTCTTTTCCCAATTTCCTTGTTGATGTTTTAAAGACTTTGAGTTGAGTATTTATGTTTAATTGAGTATTTCAGACAACTTTGCATTTAAACTACTTTATAAATAATGAGATGTTATGAGTGAGTCTTTGCATTTTGTGTTCCTATGTTAATGAGTAAGTCTGAGCCTGACAAAGGGTTCTCTTGGAGACCAGTGATGGCTCTCATGTGCCGGCCACGTCCAGGGTGTAGGCTCGAGGTGTGACATAACCCACCCTTCAACTTTTTTTCTAAAAAAAATACTTTCCTAAAAATATATGTAAATATCTATTACAAAACTAGAAAAATGTAATAACAACAACAACAACAACAACAATAATAATAATAACAACAACAACAACAAATTAGGAACGGAGTGTTAGAAGAGCTATGGTAGATTTTATTTTATTTTAAATAAAAATAATATCAATTTTTTTTGGGAAAGAGTGAGTATTTTTTTTTTGTTGGGGGAGGGGTGAAGCATGAATTTTTATATAAAAAAAATTATAAAAGAAATTTAAAAAAATAAAAGGATGGGAGGATTGTCGCTGGAGGGGGGGGGGGGGGGGGGGGGGGGGGAAATAAAATTAAAGTCAAACA